TATCACTCATAAGACTAAATTCCTAAAATACTCCGCACATTAATCTAAAAGCCCACCATTCGAAACGACGTTTTGATTGAATGGAACTCAGTGTTCACACTACCAGGTAGTTTTCTCAAAAATTAAACACTTGTCAACAAACTAGAACGATAAAATTACCGTTTCGATAAAATTCTGGTATACAGTATACAACAATATCATCTGAATATGCAGGTATAAAACTATGCGATACTGTGGTATTCGAAGTTTTCGCCGATACGACCAAATAATAATCGAAACTGTATCGTGTTAACGTGTTGTAACATGTATCGTACGTCATTTGACTTATATCTATATTTTAAAAGATTCCAAGTACATATTCCCAAATTTACTGTCTATGAGAACAACATAAGACTGCGTTTGTGCTGCAGGAGTGTAAATTTGTATATAAAATAATGAAAGGTTTGTATATGAACAAAAATCGTAATATTTAATTACGCTCACCAAGAATATAGGTAGGAGAGTACCCAATATTTAAATTTTCCATATATGTGGGGAATTTGGTGACCTTCTTTTCTGTTAGTTTTTTGGTTAGTTGGATTAAGTCCAAGAATAAATAACAAACTATTCGATTTTTGCCAACGTTTCGGAGCTTTATTTCTCCTTCATCAGGGCTCAGTCAATGTTGTTATTGCTGTCGTAATGTTCGTAATTTACCACCTTACGTGACAGCAATAACAACATTGATTGAGCTCTAATGAAGGAGAATAAAGCTTCGAAACGTTGGCAAAAATCGAATAGTTTGTTATTTATTCCTGGACCTAATCCAACTAACCAAAAAACTAATAGGTAGGAAAATTTGCGATTTAAGTTCAAACTTAACATTTAGGATAATCAACTTTAGGATGTACATATGTATTAGGTAAATATCAAACGGACAAATATGTTGCATGCATAAAATGATGCAGATAACAGAAGTAAAAAATTTTGGTGATAGCATTTTTGGTAGAAACTTGTCGTGCTCTAATGTCTACCAGAGACTTCATTATCTTTTATCCATTAGTCTTGTCGCGATTCGAATCGTCGGCGTTCCAAAAATGCTAAAAAACTGATGTGTCTGAACACTGTGTTCAGACCTACAACTGATGAACCGACGGTTCATCAAGATATGTGTAACGACGCGTCCACACAAAACATAAGCACCAGCAGATATTTTACCCGACGGCGACAATGCTTTTGGCGGTTTTGGCGGACATGGCGGTTTTTCACCACACACATCAGTTTTTGGCACGATTCGATTCGCGGTGATACGAACGAGTGAAAAATAACGACGTTTGGGGTCGGCATAAAATATATACAGGGTGGGGCATTTAAGTTGACAAATGCGAATAACTTCGAAATGAATTGTTTGACAAAAGAATATTTCAAAGAAAAGTGCCACCGTTTTGAAGGCGGGATCTAACACTTAGAATGTTCTTATATTTGGTAGAGGATTTCAAGGTCATTTGAAGGTCAACTTTGATTTTTTAAACAGGAACCCCTATTTTTTTGTATAGATTTGTATTCTACACTTAAAAATAAGTAAGGATTGTTTGAAGAAGTTTTGTGTTTGACTTCAAACAACAATTATTTGTTTCCCCCTTAACCGTTGCACTTTAACTTTTTGTAACGAACGTTAAAGAGGGCACTGGTTGAAATAATGTTAATTGTTACTGAAATAATCCTGTTACGTTAATTGTTAAACCATGATTTTAGAACGTATAATTTTGTTAAAACGTATTTGACTTTGTGCTAGACGTTTTAGAGATATTAGCCATTAAGGGGTCAGACAAATAATCTAAATAACATCCGCTGGCACCCAGTTACCTGCGTGTGATCTAAGGTGCTATACGAGTACTCCAGGTCACAGGCTACCCAGATTACCCAAATGTAATTGGTCGAGATCCATAAAATGGGCGGAACCTGCTACAGAGTTTGTTGTATAAAAGGTTCATTTCAAAAAATCAAAGGCATTATTTATATCAACTTATCAATCTGCGAAGTGGTAACGTGCTTTTTGATACAAGTGAATAATTGTTGTCAATAATGGAAAACTTAACTGTAGCGGAGAAGGTAGAAAACTGTTTTATTTATGGAGAAGCCGGTCGAAATATGCAAGATGCGTGTAGATTGTATGCAGAGCGTTATCCCGACAGAAGACATCCGTGTATGCGGTCATTTTATCCTGTTGTGCACCAGTTTTCTGAAGAAGGAAGTGTTCAGCCAAAGAAACGACAACGTCGACGAACAGTAACTGGGGAAGACAATGAAATTACGGTGTTAGCTTCAATCGCTAATAGTCCACAAGTAAGTACTCGCGCCCTTTCTCATGACTTACGAATATCACGGAGAAGCGTCCTAAGGATACTTAAACGGCACAAGTTTCAACCCTATCATATCTCTCTATCAAGAGCTTCATGGTGATGATTTCCAGAATCGGGTCATATTTTGTCATTGGGCCCGCGAACAATTATGGACTGACGGAAATTTTTTTCGACGAGTTCTATTTTCTGACGAATCAACTTTTACAAACTATGGAACAGTTAACAGACACAACATGTACTATAGGCCTGTAGACAATCCAAGGTGGTTACGCGAAGTTGAAAGTCAACGACAATGGACTCTAAATGTTTGGTGTGGAATCATTGGAGATTCGTTAATAGGACTTTTCTTCATTGATGGTATTTTAACAGGAGAAAAGTATACTTAGTTTCTTAAACAACAGTTACCACAACTTCTTGAAGATTTGCCTCTAGAGAAACGCATGACCATATGGTACCAGCATGATGGATGTCCAGCACATTATGCAGTAACCACACACGAAGTCTTGGACCGAAACTATCCTGGCCGGTGGATTGGACGAGGGAGTCCAGTACCGTGGCCTACACGATCACCCGACTTGACTTCGCCAGATTGACAAAGGAGTTTTGCTTAATAAAAAAATACATTTCTAACATAGCTTTCGCAAACTTAATTTTTACTTTAAATATTTATTTTAAGACGTTTAACAGTTAAAAAAAAGAGGACCAAATTTTTGTTTGAAGTTAAACACAAAACTTCTTCAAACAAACATTACCTACTTATTTTTAAGTGTAGAACACAAATTTACATATACAGAAAAATAGGGGTTCCTATTTAAAAAATCAAAGTTGACCTTCAAATGACCTTGAAATCCTCTATCAAATATAACAACATTCTAAGTGTTAGATCATGTCTTCAAAACGGTGGCACTTTTGTTTGAAACATTTTTTTGTCAAACGATTCATTTCGAAGTTATTCGCATTTGTCAACTTAAATGCCCCACCCTGTATGTATGAGATACAGAATGGTACCTTGAGAAAGCCTCGCCTTTTTATTTCAGTTAATATTTGAAATAAAAATATGGTGAAAAACGAGGTGAAATAGATTGAATATATTTTGTTATTATTGAATCTATTTCGCAGGGTGTTTATAAATACGGTACCAGCTGCCATATTGCGATTTTTTTAAATGGAATGACCCACACCACTTCATCCCAAATACAATGATATAATATATTATATCATTGTATTGATAAACCTATACTATAGTATGGGTTTATCTCCAACAGTTTTTGAGATATAATCAATCAAAATATTAATTACAAAATACTTGCTATATACATATCTGACTTCTAACAGTTAATGAAGTAATCTACGACAGTATAACGACAAATAAATATAATTTGTGTAAAAACAAATTGAATTAAATTGTGATTGCCGTTTTTTTCCATTTTAACGAATATGTACTCTTGCAAATTTAAAATTAACCATTAACAAAACAATTTGCAATCAAAATTGGTACAAAGATATTTTGAGGGAATCTGAATATCTGTGGTATTATATTTTCGCTAACAAATTTCTAATATAATTTCTTAAGAAATCGTTCCAAAAAATATCATAAATACCAAGGACTAGAAACTTGGTGAAAGTGATAGAGTATAGATGTGCATTCCCTCATCGAGTAATCAGAAAAAAAAATTGGTTTTCATTTGTTTTTCGTTATGAAATGACTGGCTTAGACAGTTCTATATGTTTTTCTTGGGATATCTCATAATAATATAAGCCATGGGATTCATTTATTTTTATTTTGGTTGCTGTGTAGAATAATTCGATTGTAAAAATAAGAGCAAGATTGTAAAAAACACATTTTATTTATAATATGACAATTTATCGTATGGCTTACTTATTCTTATAATCGAACTATGGGACTACAGCAAGTACAACAACAAAAAAAAAAACAGATGTACTCATAGGTGTATTTCAGTGTTTACCTTTGGTTTTATTTAATTTCGGCTTTGGAAGTTTTATTTTACGTGCTAATTAAGCAAATTTGGCAGGTATATATTATTCTGTCTGGTAAAAGGTACGTAATATATCATAAAACAATAGTGTTTGCATTTATTCATATCTTTAGCAGTGAGCTAATAAAGACCACTAGATTTACGCATATCTCTTAATTAATACCTGTAAAGTTTTGTATGATAGTATACTTAGATTAAGTCATACTCTATTGTTACATTATTGTGTGTTGCTTGTTTCACCTCCATAGCCAAGTAGCGGAGTAGCATTGATAAAAATAATATTGCCTCTATAGGTCTAAACTATTCTGAAACGTCGAGATTCTAAGACTAACAATAAGCTGAAAAAACCTTCTTCCATTCGTCCGACATTCTGTCTGTTTGTTAATCTTTTTCGTGTATAAGGTATCCCATTTTCAACATTTTTTCTAAGGTATCTTCTAAGGTTATTACAATAGATAGAAATATGCTGTTTTCGCGAACCTTGGCTACTTTTGTGAGGGAAATTCATAGTGGCAACCAGATGCTTGATAAATAATAATAATAATAAATCACTCCACAGAAATTGACAGTCTCCCTCTAAGAGTCATTACAAGTGTGCAGAGGGGGAATAAACATGAAAAAGACGTAGGACACACAACCAAACCCTGTGACAGGTGCCGATTGCCACAGGCGGGATTCGAACCCGCGCGGATAATAGCTCTCGGAGTAATCGTCATCTTCTCACCTGGCTCTTGACCCACTGAGCTATCGCCGCGGTAATTCTAGTTTTTGAGTTATAGCCAATTCTAACCATCTGTGTAGCGGCCAAAATTTCAATACTTGCGATGATCAAGCCGACATTTTTTTAAATGGAAACCATAATTGAACATGACATTTTTGTTGAGATAATTTGTTATGCTTTTCAAAAATATGTCACTTGGTATATACATACATTTTCATAAATAAACTTGCAGCAGTTTAAAATTAATAACATGAAAAAATGTACATACATGGCCATGAACAAAACGTTAAAGTTTTTCAAAATTTTTAATCAAAATTGACATCGACTATTAAACACAGTTCCTATAACATAAACAAAAGATTGAACATTTAAGATTAAACAGTTTTATTTACTATGGTGTCAACATAGCCCCCCCCCGGGGGGGGGGCGGTGGGGGGAAGGGCCCTGCCCCCCCCCTGGGGTCCCCCTTTCCCTCCAGGTAAGCACGGCGGGGGGGGGGCCGGGGCCTTGAGGGCTGTCCCGCCGCGGGTAGAAGGAACGTAGGTTGCCCGCGGGGGGGAGGAGAAGGAGGGGGGTTTCCCTCTACTTTGGGGCTGCCCCCCCCGGTGGCAGGGGGTCGGGGGATTCCCTGGTTGGGGGAAGGGTTTGTTTATTGGTCCTTCCTTCCCTTTTTTTTTGTTGTTGCTCTGCCCCTGGGTTTCCAACGGTTTGTCTGATGGGGCGTTCAATGGAGTGGAGGGGGGGCTGTGGTGGATCTCCCCACTTATCCCCTGCCTCTGAAGGAGGCTGCGTAAGTGTCCTCCCTATCCCCTAAGGAGGGATGCTACCCCCTGGTCCCTGTCCCAAGGGTGGATAAGGTTAATGCCTCTTTTTTCTCCCTTTCCTTTGATGTTTTCGCCCTTCCCTGTATCCGAATAGGGGTGGGTAGAGCAGGGGGGTGTCCTGTTCTTGTTTTAAGGTGTTTCCTTGTGTTTAGGGCCGTTGCTCTTTGCTCAGTTGTGTGAGGGGCCGTCCCCCTGTGGGGGGGGGGGTGTCGTTCTCCCTCATTGCCCGGGGAGGTACCCCCTTTTGGTTGTTGTCGTCTCTCAGGTGTATGGAGAGGTAGTACCTTTCCGCCACGCATCTTCTTTGTGGTGAATCCCCAGGTTAGGCTGGCCTTTTGAGGATTCCTCCCGAGGGCGAGTAGTGCTACCTTTTATTTGAGCCTGTCTTTAAAACAAAGGTAGTTCGGCAACCCCTGGTGGAATTCCCTGTAATCCACGGAAGGTTCGTAAGTTTTTTAAGCCAGGCTCCCAACACTGGGAGGACTACAAATCCGCCCAGAGGGGAATATAAAAGGTTTCTTTTGGGATACCTGGCGGGCCGCTTTCCCTGCCCTCACCCGGCTCTGTCGGGGTGGGAGTGTTCTCTGAGATTACTTGTGCTCCTTTTTTTTTTTGGGGAGTGAAAGAGGATGACAGTGTGGTGATGTCGACGTCCTCCAAGTTGTCCTAAAAGGTAAGATGGGCTTCCGTCCTTCTCTTTCGCCTTTTTCCGGCCTTTGCAGGGTGGTGTGCTCGTATTCCCTTTTTTTTCCTTCTTCTGGCTCAGGTACTACCTTTGCCTGAGGTTGTTAGGGTTGTTTTCTCCCAACAGGGAAAAAGATTACACCCAGCAAATCGTTTCGGCCCATGTTGTAGTTTCCTTTAAGGCTAGAAAGGTGGGGACGTTACCTCAAGGGATTTGGTGCAAAACCGTTGCCCCCTTCTTGCCTACCACCGAAAATCCGGTGCGGCTCTCCTCCCTTGTACGGTAGATGGAGTGTGCATCAGCTTATCCGCCTGGGTGTGTTTATTGATATCGGGGAGCTGAACCTCCTTCTCTTCGGGGGGGGGGGTGTTTGGTTGGGTATAGGAGGCGTGTTCGGGTCGGGGGTGTCTTCTCCTCTTCTGTGGTGCCTGTGGGCCTCCTCTAACCGTCGGGCTTCTATGCCCAAGCTCTCTCGTCTTTTTTACCAAATCTGTTTTGGGGGGTTCTGGCGAGGCTCCAGGGGGAGGGTGGTGGGGGGTTGGGTTTTAACCCAGGAAGGCCTGGTTACTTCACAGGGTGTGGGGTTCTGGGGGGTTTCTGTTCTATTTGTATTATTGGAGTTGTCGGGCCTTTGGGGTGTGAGAGTTGGTTGTGGGATAAGGCCGGGTCCTTCTTTTCCGGCCTGTTCCCGTTTTCTTGGTGTCTTGGCAGGTAAGTGGTAGTTCAGTCCTTTCCTGTGGCCCTAGGGCCTGGGTCTGGGGTCTTTGGGCCTGTCTTGGCGGGGGGATGAGCAGTTGGACAGGTGGTGTCCGTTTTGTTACGGACGTGTGGGCTCTTTGTCCCTGCATCCTGTAGAGAGGATGGGATACCCTTTCTGGTTCTGTTTCGGGTCCTGGATAAGGCGGGAGTTGGCGGAAATTTTTTTGCCCTCGGGTTTGCTAGTTTTCCGGAATTTGCTATCCTGTGGTGGAACCTAGCGGTCGGGGTTCTTGGGAAGTAAGGGCCTTGTGTTTGTCGGTTCTTTAGTTCTTGTTGGGTGTGGTGTTGGTAGGATCAGGTGTGGGTGGGGGTAGGGTCCCCGGCCTGACCTATATTAGGGGTCCCCTTTTCAATGGGGGTTTCCCTGAAGGCTCCTGTATTGAGAAGCGTGGGGTGCTTTTTTCATCTTGTGGTGACGGTCCTTCCCTTCTTCTCTGTGGTTGGGGGTTCTCCTTGGGTTTGAGGATTCACCCGGAAAATTGGTTGGGTATGGGTGCCTGGGCCCGTCGCCTATGCTGGGTCTTCCCGCCCCTTTTCGTATTCATTCATTCATAGTAAACAAAACAACATTAAAATAACAAAATTTGAAATACATATTTAAAATTAAATACATATTGCTCGAACTATTGCCCGTTATACTATATACGTATATAGTTCATATCTCTGAGAATTGCTTACTATTTGTTGCCTTTAAATACATATGCCTTGATATCCACAGTGGTCTCGGAGAGACAAAAAATACGATGAAAATGGATCCAAAATTGGATTGTAAGGAATGTTTCTAGGTCATTTGTAGCTTTGAAACCTCGAAAAATCAACATCCTAGCTGCCGCCTTTTTTCGAGATATCGATATTTTTATATTTTTTGATCACTGAATTCTACATAGAAAACTCTATGGGACACCACTGTAGTAATATCAAAATTATTCAAATTGTGACCACTACAGAGATGGTTAAAATTGGCTCATTTTTCAAAAATCCCCTGTAACTCAAAAACTACATGTTGATATCAAAAAATCGGGTTCTGAATTAAGCACTAAAAAGCAGCCAAGGTTCGACAAAAACGGCATATTTTGTCTCTTGTAATAACTCTATCTCTTGTAATAACCGACATACCTTAGAAAACACTTCGAAAATGGGAGACCCTGTACACTACAACTCGAAAATGCTTGAGGATATTGAGTTAGAAATTGGTATACCTACTCACATGTATACATATCTACAGACGTGATACTTAGAAGAAATGTTTTTTTTTTGTTTGTCAGAAAGTCGGTTGTTGTTTACCTCACAAAATTAAGAATAACATTAAATAATCCTACTTTACACATTTAAAAAACACATATACATGTACTGTACTAGAAATTAAATAAACTGCTCATCAAAATTAGCGTAACTCTCTTTAGATTAGTGGCATTTGCATTCTATTCGAGTTAGAGACTTGCGATTTTTAAATTTCGGTAGCCTATAGGGTTGGTTTTAATGCCACGAAGTCCTATGTTGTGACTTAAACGGTTCGCCGTCCACACCCCAAAACCAACCCCATGTCGAAATATGAATTATGGGGTGCAAGTCGTGTCACCCCACACCAATTTATGTGGCAGAATTAGAATCAAGAGGATTTAGGAATTATTACGCCAAGAGGAATTAGGATTCGCCCAATAGAGGTCAAACCATGTAAAACTTAGCTTATATGCAAAGGGGTGGCTTACGGGTTTTAAATGGGCTGAAGAGATGGGACAGCGACCAAATGGACAGATGTTATTCAGGAGGTCTTAATGGGTGCCAGAATGGAGTTTTTACCCAACAGCGTTCTTCTTAGTCCATCCCGTAAGTGAATTGAGGTCAAAATCTTCTGAATTCATATTTCGACATGGGGTTGGTTTTTGAGGTGTGGACGGCGAACCGTTTAAGTCACAACGTAGCGACTTAGGGGCATTAAAACTAACCCTATTGGCAACCTAAATTTAAAAACCACAAGTCTCTAACTAGAATATAACGCAAATGGCACTAATACAAAAGAAAATGTTACACTAATTTTGACGAGTAGTTTATTTACCAATTTTAATTTTTTTATTTATTCAAACTTTGTTTTACTCATGTTAAAGAAGAAGCCCGTGATAATACGAGTGAACACGAATTTCCTATGCTACGTGTTTTTTCATAAGTTTGCTTTAATTTCAGCAATTCAGAAAAGAAAAAATACAGTGATTAAGTTTTAAAACTAATTGTTTATATAACATTCAGAGGTCACTATACCATACATAAACACGTAAAAATAAAACGATCAGGAAAACTAAACCGAACTTTTTATTAGCATTCTATAAATAATAAATCCCAACTAACGTCAATTAAGTTTTGGTGTATTTGAACTGTGTATTTTTGGATTTAGAATTTAGAAATCTGGTACTGTTTATTAGTTGTTTACGATTGATATGGGCCATGAACGCAGGCCTTAATGTGAAATTAAAGAGAACAAATGTTCAGAATTAAAAAAAAAAGTTACATAACGCGAAGGAAAGATTTTGCGGTGAAAATCAACAGTTTAATTGCCCATATCGCTCCAAACTCTTTGAAGAAAATTTTCCGTAAACTAATAAAAGCCAAAAAATAAAATAAAAAAGGTTTCAACAACGTGTTTCCAAAGCATGCATAGTCTGGTACAACCAAATTGTGTTTATCTTAAATTCTTTGATCTTATGAGCAGATGCATCTCTGGTGGTTGTTAAAACGTCTATACTGAAATATTGTCTACTTATTTCAGGAAG